GCGCCCTGGGCGGCGCGCGGCGGGAGGCCGTTGGGTGCGCGGGGGCCCTACTGGACATCGCCACGGTCGCCATGCAGCTGACTGTGAAGGCACTCCAGGGCCGCGAGTGCAGCCTGCAGGTAGGGTCGCCGGCCCCAGACGCGGCGCTCGGCCCGGCCCGGCACCGGGACAGGCAGGGGCCGGGGCCGAAACGCCCAGAGCAGCCCTCGGGAGCGGGCGCGAGGTGGCCGCTCTCCGGGGCCGCGGCTTACCCCTGCGCACCCCCCGCCCCCGCCCGGCCAGGTGCCAGAGGACGAGTTGGTGACCACGGTGAAGCAGCTGGTCTCCGAGAAGCTGAACGTCCCTGTGCGCCAGCAGCGGCTGCTGTTCAAGGGCAAGGCCCTAGCAGGTACCCCGGGAGGAGGTGCCCGGGAGCCCCGCGGGAGGCCGGGGGCGGGGTGTGCGGGCCGCCGGGCAGCCGCGTGACGGGTCCGGGCTCTCGGACCATAGCCCAAGTCGCCACCACCGCCAGATGCCACAGTGCGCTGCCCTGGCTGCCGGAGGGAAGCGGTGTGGCTTCCGGCGCCACCCGCACAGCTGTAGGTCAAGAACCCCACTAGTCTTTCTTTCGCAGATGGGAAACGACTGTCAGACTACAGCATTGGGCCCAATTCCAAGCTCAACCTGGTGGTGAAACCTCTGGAGAAGGTACTACTAGAAGAAGGGGCCGCCCAGATTGTGGCTGAGCCGCCACCGCTGCCTGTGTGGCAGCTAGTGGCCAAAGTCCTAGCCCGCCACTTCAGTGCTGCAGATGCCAGCAGGGTCCTGGAGCAACTGCAGAGGGTGAGGAGGTTACCCTGCCTATTGAGGGCTAGCCGCTGCCAGCCCCTGCCCCCGCACAGCCTGCCCTTACCCCCAGCACCCCCCAATCTTCCTGGCCTTCTCTCCTCAGGATTATGACAGGTCCTTGAGCCGCCTGACACTGGATGACATTGAACGCTTGGCCAGCCGCTTCCTGCACCCGGAAGGGACTGAGGCTCTAGAGAAGGGGTTCTCCAAATAGCATTCCCGGATGTTGGGGAGGAGCTCGAGGCCAGACCACAGCTGCATGTTGCATTAAATGTGTTCTCATGTTGCAGTTTGGCTCCTGATAGAAACAGCTGGTGTGTGCCCAGCTCTTGCTAGGTGCTAGGCGCCCCTCATGGCCCTTCGCCCAGCTTCTCTCCCACCCTGCAGCAGAGGTGAGCCTGGACGACGGAGGGGCCCAGCAGCAATGTGGACAAGTGCCTGGCGTGAGGAGGTTTGGGAGGCCGTGGGCAGGGAGGGTGGGTGTCAGGACTCTGCGTCCATACCTCGTGTGACCCTCCCAGGCCTGATAGGAACAGGTGACCACTGCTGACCGGCTCTCCTGACCTCTACTGAGTCTGGCAGAGCCCTCGGCAAACCTGCACAGAGGCCAGGTGCCAGCCATCGCATGCCCCTGGCCGCTGCAATCCGTGTGGCATGCTCCTGACAAAGGGGCAGGAAATTAGGGGTCAGGGAGTTGGGAAGTCACACAGCGCTGTGGCATGACTTGGAGCAAATTGCTGTGCCGTTTCGTTGCCAGCCAGCAAATCTGCAGTGAGAGCCACTTCTCCAACCTGAATCCCCTTCCTCCTTTCCCAGCCCAGGGTGGGAGCTCTGTGGGACCTCCGCCCTTGTGTGCAGTGACAAACTGAAGCCAGAAGTGAAGCCATAGCCAAGCATGGGCTGGACAGGAGGTGTCCCGGCCCTCGGGGACACAACTTTCCTCTGGGCCCCTTGCTCGCCTTCTCCTGCTGGAAGTGGTGGCAGGCAGTGACTCAGTGAGACAGTGGCACCCAGCACTTCTCCCACTGTGTGTGTCTACTTGAAACCCCCTCGCCGCCTCCAAGGGAAGCTCAGGGTGCTGGAAGGCGGTGAAGGTATGGGCTGGTAGGCACCAGGGCACAGATGCCAACGCCTCTGTCAGTGTCGGCCCCTTAGAGGCAGCTGCCCCTGCCTGGGCCTTGGTGAAATGTCACCGGGTCCCCATACAGGGAAGGTGACCACACCGCTGGGGATACCGTGCAACAGGGAGCCGCTGAGATTGCATAGCTTGTGATGCTGTTGTTTCTTTGCAGTCAGGGAATGTGTTCTGAGAAGAACACTAAAGGTGTGCATGTGCAGGAAACTGAGCCACAAAGAACTGTTAGCAAGGCTGCTTCCGGTTGCCAGTAACTGGCTTAACAGTAAAGGAAACTTCCTGATGAGCCGCAGCACAGGAACAATTTGCCTAGATTCCCAGCCTCTTCCACCTCCCTCTACTTTCTCTGCTTCCGGCTTCATCCCAGGCCACCCCTCCACGGAGCACTTGTTTCTGTAGTATAGCTTCTGTCTCAGATGCCCCAGCAAATAAACGCTATCGTGTCACTGGTCACACTGGCTTGTGTGCGATCGTTCCTGCGATCGTTCCTGCTGCCGGGAGTTGGGGCTTGCTGGGGCTGCTGCCTTGTGCACACGCTGGCTGGACTAGAGGCTGGGAGGTCCTGAATGGTGGCTTTGAGCGTATCTACCCACTATGGGGGACGCGAGTGTCCTAAGATCAAGGCACCTGGGGGAGGGGAAGGTGGGAGGGCTGTGGGGGGCCCTGGGGTCAGCAGGCTCCCACGAGGAGGGACCCCCATGATGCCTGGGCTCAAGGACACTTAGCTGGGTTTAGGGATGCACACTATAATCCTGGGACTCGTGAGGCTGCTCCAACCTGCGCTACAGGGCTACTGAAGAAAAAGACAGTTCAACCTGTGACAGGGACTCATTGCCCTGCTTGAAAGGAGAGACAAACCCTAGACATGGTTCTTTTTCTTCCAGTACTGGGGATTGAACCCAGGGCCTTCACACTGAGCTATATCCCCAGCCCATTCATTCATTCTTTTTTTTTTTTTTTTTTGTCTTTTTGAGACCAGGTCAAGTTATGTAGTTCAGACTGGCCTTGAGCTCACTTTGTAGCTCAGGCTGGTCTTGAACTTGCAACAATCCTCCTGCCTCAGCCGCCCGAGTGCTGGAATTACAGGTGTGTGCTACCATGCCCTTCATTTTTAAGACAGGCCTGCACAGGCTGGGCTGGAGCTTGTGGTCCTCCTGCCTCAACTTCCCAGTGTTGGAATTCCAGTCATAGGCCACTATGCCCAGTGTAGACATGGTTTTCAAGGCCCATCCATCTTGGGGCCAGCATAGAGATGCAGCGCCTGCGGTGTCTAAATGGCACAACTGGCCGTTCTGTCACAAGGCTGGGCCAGGGACTCCATGGAGGAACCGCAATGTGACGCTTAGCGCAAACCAGGGAGCCTGGGAGGAGCAGGGGGCGGCAGAGGCCTGTCCGCGTCTGTTACCTTGAAGGGATGTGGCTGCACAGTCACATGGGACTTGGGCCTCGGGAGACCTGGCTGGACCTGGGGACTGAGGACGGAAGGGCCTGGGGTGTGCACTGGGCGCCTGCTGCTTAATGAGAGTGTCAGTCAAGGGTTCCTCTCGTGCCCACTCGCCCAAGAGCCACACGCTTGGACACAAAGTGACCAGGGCGGGAACCAGCATGGTGCAGTCCCTGAGCCTGGACTGGGGTGTCCGTGCTGCTGTCCCCAGAACTGCCTGTGCACGGGAAGCTCCGGGAGCTCTGTGACAGCCCAGGAGCTCTCCTGGGGAAGGGGCATGAGAAGAGGTCTGAGCAGAGGGGGGAAGGCAGCCACAGCACAGCCAGGAGAGGTCTTCTGGGTAGATGGGTGAGGCTAGCAGGGCACACGGTGTGCTGCTGGATGGCAGGCTGGAGAGTGAGGGAAGAGGAAGAGCTGGCACTGGTGACTGGGGACCCTCATTCCAGACACAAATGTCTACCTGCAGGTGGCTCCAGTCTGCCTACTGCCCCTGCCCCTCAAGACAGTCCCTAACCCCTAGGAATGTCAGATGGCCACACTAACACCAGGAGACCACAGTATGATGGACAGGCCTGCTCAGATGGGGAATGGTATTCAGAAACCAAGATCCAGCTGGGCTCAATGGTACATGCCTGTCATCCCAGCACTCAGGAGGCTGAGGCAGGAGGATCGTTGTGAGTTCGAGGCCAGCCTGGGCTACAAAGTGAGTTCAAGACCAGCCTGAACTGCATAGTGAGACCCTGTCTCAAAAAAGACAA